CGTGGTTTGACCGTTTGTTTAGACGGTCAACACCGTTGACCGTTAGTCAACTGTCCAGATCACTGCCATGTCAACATAAAAAAATTATAATTTCATTTTTCATTTTATTTCATTTACAAAAATTGAATAATTAAAAAAAAAACAAAATCCAAAAATTTTGGCCCACCCATCCCCACCTTATCCCCTCACCTTCTTTCCTTTTCGATCAAACCCAACCCTATTCCATCTTCTTCCTCCTTCTTCCCCGACGGCGTAAACATCAGCCTCGACTTCCCAATCATAGGGTCCATGACCACCGGAATCAATCCTTCCCAAATTCATATACAAACATCAACAAGAAGAAATAACTCAGCAAGATTGGGATTCAAATATAATCCAAATCATTTGAGAAGGAAGCAAATTCAAACCTTTTTGTTCATCAGAACCATCGTGAAACTCTTCCTGCTCCTCCGGCACGGGATGGAGCTCACACTCGTCTACCAAAGAAATCCCTTTCTTCGAACTCCCTTCTTCAATCCCACCTTCCTTATCATCCGGATAACGCACCACCACGACTGGGCAAATGCAGTGATGCACACAGTAATCACTCACACTCCCCAGCCTACCTTTACTGTTCCTCCTCGCCGCCCCAAACCCTCGGCTCCCCATAATCACGGCGCTCAACCCCAACCTCTCCACCTCCAGGCAAAGCCTCTTCCCAATCACAGGGTCCAGGTGGGAAGGATGTTTACGCCGTCGGGGAAGAAGGAGGAAGAAGATGGAATAGGGTTGGGTTTGATCGAAAAGGAAAGAAGGTGAGGGGATAAGGTGGGGATGGGTGGGCCAAATTTTTTGGATTTTTTTTAATTATTCAATTTTTGTAAATGAAATAAAAAGAAAAATGAAATTGTAATTTTTTTATGTTGACATGGCAGTGACCTGGACAGTTGACTAACGGTCAACGGTGTTGACCGTCCAAACAAACGGTCAAACCACGCTCCAGGCCAATTTTGTCAATATGCTGCATAGATCGGGCCAGGATGTTAATTTCTCAAACCACTGGCCAAAGTTGATTACATGGTCATAGTTCAGGCCATAACAAGGTATTAACCCATTTGAAAACTGAGCTGAAAAGACACAATACAAGAAAAAATAAGCTCGATACAGGTCTTGGTCGAGTTAGCCCGAATATGACGTCGACTCATCATGTACATTCCCAGCTCACTTTTTTATTTTTCAATAAGTATAACTGTGCATAAAATTTAAGCATCTACATATATACTTGTTCATGTGAATTTAACATATAATTATGGAGTGGAATAACCTATAAATTTATGCCAAGATTTCTTGACATAAAAAAGTTATATTTTCAAGACTTCAATTCATCCATAATTGTCCGTTGTAAGAAACTCAAAATTTTAATTTGTGGGTCATCTTTAGTGATCACATTCACCCCAAAAAACATCTAAATGATTTCATTTACATTCAGGATGCCCAATTGATTAGTAATTAGTTTGTGCAATTGAGGAATTTCATTAATTTCCTTTTGCACAAGAAAAGTTATGAAACTATTTTACACCTTCTTTAGCCAAATACACTTCAACTCATCCTACTGATTGTTGCAGCCATCTCTCGAGTTGACCAATCTTATTGTTGTTTTCCATTTTTTGCAATTTGTTTTTAAGATTTGGAAATGTTAACATCTAAGTGTTGGATGTTCATCTGAGTACAAAATTATTGATACATTATCAGGTTTTCTTCCTTCATCAATTGTTGAATTTTGACTATTGTTCTGATACCATGTTGGATTTTGGATGTTGTTTGATAAATGGGAACTTTGTAGTTTATCTTGCAAAGCGAAAGTTTGGATTTGTTTTGGCAAATGGCTTGTTTAATTTATTTCATGGAGGAAGGGTTTATGAATTTTTGGAAGAGCTACATGGGATCGCAATTTACCCACCCATGGGTATTTTTGCCCAAACCCAATTATATCCATTTATATGGGTTGTGTATGGATTTATTCTATATGGATTTGGATAAGATTTGGGTAGGTGGAGTTGGGTTTGGATTTTATTTTTGGGTATGGATTGGGCTTGGGTACCCATCTCCTTGGACCTGCCTGTATATGTTTTTTTTATTAGGTGTTAAAATGTAAAGAGAAATTTTTAATGTATTAAAATGTAATTTTCCACATATGATGCTGGACCTATTTGTATCTTCTTAAAAACTTTAGGTACTAAAGTGTAACTTTGGCTGTCAGCGACAGCGACCGTCGTGTTCCAGGCTTCCATATCTTCGTCGGCGGCGGCTTCGACGGTGCAGAACGTCGGTGCCTCCGCTTTCGACTGACAGGCGAGGACGATGGATCCGACCTTGCTGCCTCCGACCACAACCGGCCCGCCGTCGAGCGGTTCGTCGTGTTCGACCTCGCCGTCGGGAATGACGAACTTGCTGCCTCCTATCCGGGTTCGGATGCCGGTCGATTCGGATCTCCAGGGTTTCGGAGAAGGAGCTAGAGGCCCGGCGGTGGGGGTGATGGATCAGGATCAATTCGGGTACTATCAGCAATCAGGATCAAATCCTCGGCAACGACGGCGGAAGCGGTTGGGGTTACTCCTCCTGTTCCGGCTATTCTGAAGGCTTCTCCGTCGAAGTCGTCCTCGTCGTCTTCAGAGAAGGTTCAGCAGGAGGCTGGAACAGTCAATTTTGGATGAATTAGACATAACTTCGAGGATCGAAAGGAGTTGTTACGGAACTGGTCAAATTGGGGGTAGTACCAACCAGAATGTCAAGTTTCCCAAACTGGGTTTTGATGAAATCGGCAAGAGAAGAGATGCTGGAGCTGTCTGTCACGTCGAGCTGATGGTAAACGATGTTATCGGAGGAGACGCCATGGTTGGTTTTGAGGTCGTCAACAGCCTGGATGCCTCTGTTTTCGTCTCTGGCTGTCAACACCACGACGACTCCACTAGCAGCCAGCTGCCTGCAGATTGCGAATCCGAGCCCTCTGTTCGCTCCCGTCACTACAGCGCACCTGCTGTGAGTTACGAAAACAGAAACAACAAAAGAGCCAAAAAGAAAAATGAGAAGAAGGGAGAAATGGATACAAGACACCATTAACTATGAATCTCATAATCCAGGCTTTATGAGACTTTATGAGAGGAAGAATGGAACTTAGATGATGGTCAGTCAAGAACACAACTTTCATTTCTATTATAATTACTATCCTTTTTTCTTTTGTTGTTGTTGTTGTTGTTCTGGATGTCTTGTATACTGCAGATGATGAGATTCATAGTTAATGGTGGCTGCTGCTGCTGATGTAGGGGAATTTGCAGGCAGGGCTAAGAGTCATGTGCAAGCAACTATCAACAAATCACCCCAAAGGGAACCTGAAACTATCAACCATTTCAAACCATTGAATCCAACACTGTGCTTACAAATCTTTCAAAGCTTGTTTATAAGGGAAGGGTATTACAGAGGAACACACACTACCGCAAGACAGAGTATTACAGAGGAACCCAACAACAGAAATAAGATACTTTGTTTTGAGTTTTGAACATAACTTCACTACATAATCAAATCAAACAAACTCTCAGATTCTTTCTCAGTCCTCATATTCCATAACTTGTTCATCATCACCGCCATCATTCTCACAGAATATGGTTTGAGTCGAACCATCAACATCAGGAGAGAAAATGGCTACACCTGCAAAATAATGAATAACATACTCAATCATCAAGTAGAAAGCCAGTAGCTAGTAAATAATGCACCAAACCAGGAAACCAACATATAACAATGAAAATCATCCAATAATGAATAACAGCAACAACAAGTTGTTTCTTACCCTGAAGTTCATTCCTAAGCCAGTTCTGGGTGCACATAAGAGCCTCCACAGTCGTGTCATCAAGGCGGCTACGATGAGGGTTCAATAATCTTCCACTTGTGCTAAATGCAGATTTTGAGACAACTGTTGACACTGGAATGGCTAGAATGTCCTTAGCAATCAGCCTTAAGGTTGGATATTGTAGGCCATGGTTCTTCCACCAAGATAAATGTCGAACTCTTCGCTTCTTGGGATCACACCATCTCGCAAGTATTTGTCAAACTCTTCTTTAACATTCCAATTAGATCTACCAACATAAGAATCAAAGCTGGCGAGAAACCCAGCACTTGCATGTTGATGTGTCGATGAAGAAGAAGAAGAATCCATGCTAGGTTCTGTAGTCTTGTACTCACTCATAAGATCATAACAAAAGTCTCGAATCCTATTAAAATGAAAGGTAGATGTGCCAACATAAATCTTGGGAAATGCCCACTCTAATAGCTTCATCTTGAACCTAGGATCCAATATAGCTGCAACAGCCAAAGTTCCATGGATAACCTCCCAATACCTATTGAATTTATCCAACATATCTTCAGCCATGGTTGCAATAGTTACATTTGGACTCAACTGCCACTCGTTTAGAGCTATTTTAATCTCACAGACCTTAGGGAAAAATGTATTAGCCGTGGGGTAAGTAGTTCCTGAAAATGTCTTTGTAGCTTCATGAAACAACTCTAGCTTCACACATAATTCAGATGCCATATCCCATTCCTCTTCACTTGGAAAACATACATAATCTGAATCTCTAACAATCAAACGATCAAAGACATCCTTATATATCAAAGCAGTTGATAGCACAAGGTAAGTAGAGTTCCAACGAGTCTTACAATCAAGCACCAACTCTCTCGAACAATCAATATTTGTAAGTCTTCTTAACACATCATTGAACTTTTGTCTTCTCTTAACAGATGAAGTCCAATACATAACACTATCACGAATTCTCCCAATGCATT